GTTAACACAGTGATAGGGAAGCTGGCACTTCCTAAAGTGTTGGTCGCCGAGTAGATTCAAAAGTGAGGATGACAGAGCGAGAACTCTGACATCCCTCATGCCTAGCGTCTTCTACAGATTGTTCTCTTCTATAGATTTTATGGGCGGTTGCTTAACTCCTGACTACTCATGGACTACATGAGTAGTGTACCAGCTGGGCGAGTGCTCTGCAAAAGCCCAATGCAATGTGAGCAAGGCTTGCATAGTCACCTCACACTACAGTACCATACCTTTTCCCACCCGCCGCCCATTAAGGAGTTCGCCATCTGTCGAAGTACCATCCTTTTTCTTTCTCTCGAAACGCTTACGGCAATGGCATTCGACAATTTCAGAGTTTTTGTTTAATAATATATATGAGTTCATGAACGAAAAGACAGCAGTCCTAGAATTACCATAAGCATAGTATTTCAAGGCTGAAATTGATAATTATGGCTGTATGGGTAATATCACAAGTTTGATCCGACTCGCTAGAAGGACTGCTCAATGGTCAGAACCTATGTCAAAACTCGAGTATTGAACATACAACTCGCTCCAATACTGACATATAACTAGCTTTCCAAGATGATATATCTTACCAGAAACCGTCAACAACTTCTTCCTACCCATAACAAAAACCTGAAATGGAACTGAAGGGATCGCTCCTGATTTATCTAGTATTTACAAAAAAAAAAAAACCAAGCTACATCAAATAATTAAAAAAACAGCTATGAAGGCATAGTTGCAGCTGTAGCACTGGTAAATAGTGAGAAATGGAATCAAATCATTCTGTTGGTAGTAATTATGAACTTAAATGTATTGAATGTACTTCTACCCCGTGAAGTCCATCGCGAAACCTTGTTATCTCCTGCTATGGTAGCTGCGAACTTCGAACTACATCTATGGCAGCTCCATGTTCGGCAATACAAAAAGGTATTTCACAGTATGCTTCGAATGTATAAAAGTGTAGATAGAAATGCGAGAAACAAGTACTGGAGAGATCGGTTGCCTGCAGTACATCACCACATGTACGCGTCCGGACATCGCGTTCGTGGTCACACAACTTTCGCGCTTTCGGGAGAATCCTGGACAGCAGCACTGGAACGCTGCAGTATGTGTGCTACGCTACCTCAAGTCGACACGCCAGCATGGGATCATCTACCAAGACGGCACGGGTAGTGTGTTGATCGAGGCGTACTCGGACGCTGATTGGGGTACGAACCTCGACGACAGGCGTTCCGGCTCGGGTGTGATAGTGATTATCGGGAACGCCCCCGTGGTGTTCAAGTCCAAGTCCCAGAGGACGGTTGCTCTCAGCTCTGCGGAAGCTGAGTACATGGCTTTGAGCTTGTGTGTTCAAGAAGTGCTTTGGATGCGTGCAATGTTGACTGATATGGGCACGCTCCAGCTGAACGCTACGACAATCTGGGAAGACAACCAGACCGCGTCCGCTCAAGCCCAGAACGCTGGCTACCATGCTAGAACAAAGCACGTGGACATCAGCGATTACTTCATCAGCGAGAATATGGAACGCGGAACGGTCTCGGTTGAGTACGTCGACACCAAGAACCAGTAAGCGGACGTTCTCACCAGGCTCTAGGGACGAAGACGCTCAAGTTCCTCCGCGACGCGACCGGCATCAAGGAGAAGGTCACCGTGCCATAGCGGTGACTGGGGGTGTTGAAGTGCACCGCTCTTGCGCGGTTCAGCCAGGCGCCCGGACCGGTCCACCACGGACCGTTCCAGGATTGGCTGACGAGATCGAGTGGTTGGGGAGCGAAGATAGGGATGCTCATACCAGCACGTACAAGAAGACAACAAGGAGGCCAACAGGGAGTAGACGGGTAGGAAGTCGTGTAGGACAGGATTAACGCTTTGTAATTTACTCACTTCGGCTTTTGCCCCCTCAACAATAAGCTACACATCAACACGCCGTCATTGGCGATTGCTAGATGAGAGCACTTTTTGACACCAACAGTTTTTTGTGTGGTCACCATCAAATATCGATTGAAAGGCTTCGTTTTTAGTAAATAAACATTATTATGAAAACCGCTTCGAATGTTTAATCCGATTTCAAACCCGACCATTTCTCTAAATGGTTCATTAGACTATGAAGCTAGGTTTTATTTTATTTATAAATCAGACCAGGTCACAAGTACTTAGAGACGCCACCTCAGTTTTCCGAGGCGATTTATGCACTGGCGTGTTCGGCGGATTTCATTTACAAATTCATCTGGACGGCCGATTTACAGCTGAACGGTCGACTTACCTCTAAATCGGTCTGATTGTCCGATGCCTCCTCGGTATTTCAAGACCAGGTCACCGCAAAAACGACGATGTGGCTAAAGCAGAGACCTCTCGTGCATTTCCATAGAGATTGACGCAGTTGCGGGGGCAAACCGGTCAATTACTATTGTGAAATTACTTTAGATGACTCTTTGGTAGCAGGATATCGATGCATCCAAGCTGTGCTTGTCCGCAGGAGACAATTGAGGGCTTGCATTAGCTTCAGCTTTTCCATCGAGGGCTTCTATGAATTAGCTTACACAATTCAAATTATTCGACGTTTTACCACAATTATATGTCCTTTTAGTCCCTCTGTTTCAGATTTATGCTCTGTTTTACGCGTGCAAATCGTCGGACAATCGAAGAGGTTTTCACAATATATACTATTTAGTGCTTATTACCAATACAGGGTTGGTATTTGAAATGAGATGCTATCACTGGTTAAATTTTGCGTCGGCCCTTAACTGATCGACGGCCCTCAACTGGTAAGTTCCCTTCTGACAGTTAGTATATTCATTGTGGAAAAACATAATGCTCTTTCTCGGTAGGACACTGTCACGTTGGGTATCGTCTGCGGACTTAAAGACAAGGCCGCTCCACTCTCACTTTGGAGGGAAAAAGGTTGGGGGTCTACGCGCTGCGTCCTGCTCCACCTTACACTAATTTTCTCTACTCGGCTAGGCGCGGTGTCAGAAAAAAAATCTGGCTGAAGTCCTCGCTTTCGCTCGTTCGCTTCGTCATCTGCGTCTAATGGGCGGGTGTTGGCAATCCATGAATGCACCGAGTGAGGCTCGCGTTCGTAGCAGGTCGCTCTCGTTCAGTGGACTCTGATGACAGTAGTATGTAATTCAGGGCATGCATTTTGGACATACATGGGAACGATCAGCCAATCAGATTCGATCATTTGCTTGGTCTTAAGCTTTTGAGTATTTTCACCGACATTATGTGTATTTTGTGACTGCTTTAGTATTTATTACGACACGACCGCTTGGGATAGTACTAGTAATTATTGTAAATCTTACTCGGATTGTAACGACATTGTGTTTAGCTGTCGCTGTCTGTGTTCGCTTAAGGTTTATATTGATACTCGCATTTACCAGTCATGAATTTGGTACTCGAATCACTACTGTGCTACTTTCGTAGATTGTGTATTTGGTGAATGTATTAGTGATGCTACCTCGCCAGAGTGATATTTTTAGTGTAGTTATTCTACATGCTAGCTGCAGTACAAACAGTTCCATACATGCTGTGGCGATTCGAGATGTGTAAATGGAAGAGACAAGATTTCGGGTTAAGAGCTGGTTTGATAGGCGCCAGCTCTGTCGCAACTGATGATTATGGCCCCCAGTACTGTGTCCAAAAGTGTTTGCAAGTAAATCACCGCTGCTCATCAACACCATTGACAGAGAAACACACCACTGGCACCAAACATAATTGCCTTGGGAACGGTGAAAGATACTACACCTTTTAACCTTCAAAATGGCAAAAAGGAAATTCAATGCTGCAAAATGTAACATCAAAACTGCAATCACGCTAAAACGAATAATTTGAAGCCAATCGAATTTGACAGAAAATAAAGTTTTGCATTACTTTCGAGATACTAATAAATTGCGCTGGAGTTCCGA